CTTAAAGTTCTTTTTCCTTATGTGCGAATACACTTCGATTTCTAATCTCGAAATGTTCTTCCTCAGATATAATAGACACACTATATATACAAAGAACAAATGCTGCCTAAATATGGCGAAACGACACACACGCAGGGGAACATGCTAAATATCAGGGTTCGGGCTTATGCGATAGTCTACTTCATGCTTGAACGCAATCTCAGACCATTTGGCTATGATAGAACCTCGACTATTTAAATATGTTAGCCGTTAGGACATTTATGGATAACAAGTTTTGTTATTTCATTTTAACGGCATTGAATAGATGAAAACTCTTATTTTAAATTATTATAACGACTTTAGATTAAAACCTATTATGAACCTTTTTCCTCTTTTTTATAGATTTTGTATAGGGTTGTTTGTTGACTTTTAAATTTCTTTTATCTATTATTAAAAGCTTCCGTATATTTTGTATTTAGTCATAAATTGCTTTTATTAAATATATTGATTTTCTAAGCGTAGTTTAGATGTGGCACAAGGCCGAAAGTATGGGGCACCCAATGAGGATCGAACTCACTACTCAGTCGTAACTGTATTAGGGAGACAAGCATGCTTAACATTACACCGCACCAAGATGCCCTTAATTGTTATTAAATATATATAGTTGGAGGCGGGTAGGCGTTTATTCGTACAGTTTATCTATTTACTAGCAGCATGGCCCGATTCAAAAATCCTATGAGTCAGACAGCAATCGCTATCACTTGACTTAAAATATTTTGGCCCTTCCTTGCCTTTAAAGGAGTGCCCTTTGCCGTGCTGATGTTGCTACATGCCTTACTTCTTGCCTGTCTCACACTGCGATTTTTCTAAGCTCTATACTAAACAGTAAATCTGTTACGAAAAAAGAAGTAAACAAAATGAATACAAAACGATCAGCTTTAAAAAAGGACTCTTAACTGGAAAAACCGAATGAAAAAAGAATGTTAACAACAAATACTTTTTCACACCCAACCCAGTTCTGCGGAATCAGAATCAAAGTTGAATGAGCCAATTGGAGTAAAGTGCCATGTAGATTTATTCATCCCACTTTTGAAGAATGCAGCTATCGATTTTTTTTGCTAGTTAGCATTCGTGTCAGTCAGCTGTTGGCTCTCACGCTGGCCAATAGAATCTTCCTGCCTATTCGTGGCAGCCAGCTATTGGCTCTCACTCTGGCCAGTAGAAAATGGCCACAAACTACATGAAAACTGCCGTAGAAGCATTAAAAAATCGATTATTTCCACTATCGATGGTAATTGGGAAATGCAACGTCGGTCTTGGCCTATTCGCTAACTTGGAGCATGTGCATGTAAATTTTGGTGCAAATCCGTCGAAAATTGCGGCCGTGCATTCGTCACACACACACACACACACACACACACACACACACACACACACACACACACACACACACACACACACACACATCCTGCCTTTTATAGATAGAGATTACTAGCTGTACTCGTAGAAATTCCACAGAATGTTCATAACACATTATTTTTAGATTCAATTATAAACATAAGTGCCGTTTAATTGTGATCAAAGTTGACGTAAGAAATAAATTATTTATGCATGCTTCTTTGTCATTTTAATTCCTCATGTGTAAGTACTTTTGATGGACGCCAAGTGGAGGAGAGGAGGAGGTCTGAAAGATAGATTTATTTATCCAAAAATATTTACAATGAGTGCTTACTTTCCAAATTATCCATTTTCGATACATATTCAATGAAAATACACTCATTTTATACGATACAGATAAATATTCCAGTGAAGTTTGCGGGAATTGCTAATAAAATTACAGTGTCATGAACTTGAATGTACACATAAATTATCTTTTCAATTTCAGGGAAAACATTCGCATCTTCATTTGAATTTTTTGTCAGACCTGGTAGATTAACATAATATTTCAGAATGCAAGTTCAAACTTATACTGTCAATCATCATCTTGAAACAGAACAAAGGCAATACGGCATTCACTGATAAATTAAATTCGAATAAATTTAACTATGAATCAACCAGATTTTTAAACGAATCAATTATGAATTAAAATATGTAACTACAAGTTTAAAAAAATAATAAATACAATTCTTCATAGAAAAAGGGTTAATGTCAATTTTTGATTTCATCATAATTTCATCGCCTTGATGTTTGTCACAAGTGCTTCTTTTATCAAATAAAGACATTATTAAAGAATAAGAATAAATAAGATTTTCGAGTGCAAAACTTTCTTAAAAGAATTTTATTTTATTTTTCCTTTCAGCAATTGCTAGATTATTTTTGGTATGGATGCACAAAAAGATATAATTCTGATATCTCCCTTTGATGGACTACTAGCATCGAAAGAGTATTATGATATTAATCTAATTTCATATCTCCCGTTCAGTTAGGCTTTGTGTTTTCGCACAAAGGCAGAATTACATTGTTCATACTTTGACCTGTCGGGCTAGCATGTGTAAATAGAATGTATTTTTTTTTATTGTTTCAAGCAAAAGGTAAGCATCACTTAAACAAAATCCCGTTAATTAAGTCTTAAATTTACTCATAGAATTTAAAACACATCGTTAGTACAAATATTGAATTTTAAAGAGAATTTTGATTTTTTGTTTATATTTTTCGTATATAATTCTAGATGAGTCAATGAGCGACAAAAAAATCATATCAATCTTTTTAAAATTGCCTAAAATGTTTAATTATATACGGAAATTAAATTTTCTTTTAATTCAGATTTTCTTTACGCTTTCAAATACAACCGAAATTTAGGACAGCATAGGAATTTAAATTCTTTAAAATGGGTTTTTGGGGTTTGTTTTTCGGTAACATTATGAAGATAGATTATACCGACTAAAGACTTATATAATTAAGCCAATGTTTAATTAAATACAATAAATTAATAGGGCTTCGTTTAATTAATTAAACCACCAAAATGTTGGAATTTGCCTGTTTGTTACCCACTTTTTTATCAATATAACTGCCTGCGTTTTAATTAATAAATTCACATCAAGGCGTCGCCAAAATTTTACTTATATCCATCGTAGGACAATAATTTTATAGCTTTCTCTAATTTATTTATTAATTTGTTTAGTTTGAAGGTTTATATTAGGTTTGTTTTGCTTCAGGTATGTATTTTTAATCATATTACTTTAACTGCGTTGTATAAAATACATATATTTCCATTTTTCTAATTTTTACTTTTCGACTTTGAACAAACTAGGGAAGAATTTGTTTTCATTGCTGCATTTTGAGATAAGTTCTGATCGTTTATTTATTCATCTATGTTAATCTGGGAAGCTGATTGCATCTATTTTCTCCTTGTGACAAAGTTTATATTTTTTTAGAATTATTGTTCTAGGCAGTGGCGGTTTTTCATATTTCCCATGATATTTTTAGTGCATTTTATTTTGTCTTTAAGTTCCTATATATATATATATATATATATAGAGAGAGAGAGAGAGAGAGAGTGATGTGCTGTTCGCCTATTTACTGGTGTTAAAAGAAATTTTCTATGCATAGTTTCTATTTTCCCATGTTCCTTCACTTACTCCTACATATATGTTTTCTCCGATATCTCCTGTTTTAAGATGGCTTCTGATATGATATTGCCTTTAGACAATTACCGTTTAAAGAACATTCCTGCTTTAGTCTGCAGTTACAGATTTGTTGGTTTTCGTTGTACGATGGTTTATACCATATAAAAGCATAAGAAACGTATGGAAATATTAGACGCACACCCGTTTTAACTGAGCATATTCAGGAATTGTTTTAGTCAATTTAAGAATGCCATATCTAAAGAAAGCTATCTATCGATAATATAAGCGGTTTATCTGCAGCAGGCAAACATCGCTGTATATAAAAAGCAAGCAAGCAGTAGAGCTGAATATAAAGTAAGAAATCACAACGGATGGACATAAGTCAAAACCGTCAAATACTATTATAATGAAGTAGCGATAGGCTGAAGTGACCGTCTGGCAGTTGGCGTTGAGAATAAAAATTAGCCTAATTGCAGAGTGATTTTTGAGATTTTTTAGAAAATATCAATGCCATCTTCCGTCGCATGCAGTACACACACGCACACACACAAACGCACACACACACACAAATATATATATATGTGTGTGTGTGTGTGTGTGTATGTGTAAGGAGGCACTGTTAAATAATGGATAGTGGCGCGGATTGAGGAATCAGAGAGCTGACATCGAATTGCTGTCGAATCTATTACATTCAGTTACTTGCTTGGGAAAGGTATGAATCATATTCTTTTTCCCTCTAGCTATTGGTAAATCGCAGGACAGACGGTTTCTATAGGCTTGGATAGCAACTGGTCTACTGCAGGAAAAATGGCAACCTACTGCAGTGAAAAAAACGTAGCACGTCAATCATGTATCTTTCGAGACATGATTGCCTAAGCGTATCACGCATGACACATAACTGACACACACACACACACACACACACACACACACACACACACATACATATATATATATATATATATATATATATATATATATATATATATATATATATATACCTGTTAGGACGCAAGAAATCAGAATTACACAAGCAGAAAAGCAAATTTAAAAAGAACGTACAGTTACATCAAGCTTTTTCAACAGTAAAATTGTGATACCTAGTAGCCAATCTATAAGTTCACTTATATTCAGTGCCGTTGAGGTACCATGGTAGATTGGTGGTTAGGACAACTGCTATGAAATATTCATAGAAAAGACAGAGGAAGCCACCACAGCGTGGTGGCGAATTGAATGTATTCGTGATATCAGATCAGGATCGATAACATTACAAACCCTTCTTTTCACGTTGTCGAGTATCTCGAGAAATATCGCAGCAATCCGTGGACGAATGCTAGCTTTATAAATGTACCAGATACATTGGAACAATTTCCTAGCAGCTGATTTGGCACTTGATTCATTATGGTCACTCTGATATATGTCAGTGTAAAACGTGAGACAAAGAAGTTACAATGATTTGCTCTCCTAGATGTTAGCATCAAACTTGATGTTTGAAGGCAAAATTTTTTATATCTATGTGGCTACTTAGGAGTTTCACGCCATACTACTAAAAGGGACAAGAACGTTAGGATATTTTTATTTATTCCACTGCAAGCAAGGTGTTAATGCAACTAAGACATAAGGGGCTATCGGGAGTGAAAGAGAATGAGAAGAATTTAGCAGAAGAAACCGGGAACGCAATACTCAAGAAGAGACAAGATAGAAACTTCTACTCTTGTTGCAAAAACAAGCGGAATACTATCAAGAGACCTAAGCAAGCGTTTTTATTTTTCTAAGCCGGATATTCTCACTGTGAATAATGGAAAAAAAAAGCTAATTGTTTAAACTCGTTCCCATTCACAATTTACATTATTCGGACTATCGTCCTCATCTTTGTCGCCATATTTATTACAACGTTTCGGCCGCAGTACGCTCCGGTCATCTTCAGGTGGTCGGAATACCGAACTGACTCCTTTATTTCGTCCATGGTATGTTTAATGGATGTCAGTTATCAGTTAACTCCTGTTAATTCCCCTCTCCAAGTTCTCCACTGCGTTAAACGGGTATTGAACTTACACTCTTCAAGGATACATGGCACAGTGGATAAAGGCGTTAGTGAGATCCAGTGAAAGGACCCAAAAAGTGTGAGTTCAATACCCGATTAAGGCAGTGGAAAACTTTCAGAGGGGAATTAACAGGAGATACCTGGTAACGGACATCCATTAAACATGGCACGTGGAACTAGGTCAGTCAACACCAGTGAGCGAAATAAAGGGTTCAGTTCGACATTCCAGCCACCTGAAGAAGGCCGGAGCGTACTACGGCCGAAACGTTGTAATAAATATGGCGAAAAAAATGAGGACACTAGTTCGAATAATGTAAATAGTGTACATAATACCTCATCTCAGAAATATAGACAGATACTGAAGGATCGTTTCCATTCACCTGTAAAGTAGTCGTTATGAAATGATCTTTCTCTTTCTGACATTTGAATAGGCGCCATGTTTTTTTTGTTTATTTTTTTAATTATATCTATCGGCCTAAGAATTCGAAGTCTTAATAAATTGTTTATTTCCCTTTCTAATCTGTTGTTAACCGGGGCAGGAAATGGCCTGTAAACTTTAATGTCTCCAAAACAAAACTGCTCTCATTCATCCACCACAGAGAACCCTCCCTGCCTCCCATCAGAATGGCTGTAACCCAACTCCACAGGAGCGCCTCTCTGCGCCTGCTTGCTCTCACGCTGTCCGCTGTCCTGAAGTGGAACAAATACATTGAATCCATACCTTCATCTACTTCAAGGAAAGTTGGTTCTCTGTGTTGTGCCAGAAGGTTTTTTTCTCGCCTGAGTCCATTCTTTCAATCTACAAATCAACCATTCGCCCTTGCATGGAATACTGCTGCCTGGTGCCGTGTCTCGAGTTCCTCAAGAAAATCCAGAAATGGATATGCAATGTGATGGTTTCTGATCTGGTATTTCCTATACAGCCACTTTCTCGTAGAGGCTCCGTGGTTTCCCTCTGTTTTTTCTACAATTATTTTCACGGCAACTGCGGCGACGAGCTACTTTCGCTTGTTCCCAAACTGCATGAATTTAATTGGGATGGCATCTCGGCCCCACAGTCGAAACGGCTAAATGTAGCCGTCTCTTCTACTCCAATAGCTTCTATCGCGCACTTCCCGTCTATGGACCTCTCTTTCACTTGTTTGCTTCCCTGATAGCTATAATCTTCAAATATTCAAATTTAATGTCAATCGACATTTTCCGATGCCTTCATCTTGTTCACCGTCTTTCTCTTTATCCTTTAGTCAAACGCGCCTCTTTACTCTTGCTCTCACTTTCTGTAACTCCCTGCGTGCTAGTAGCACTCACGCCTTGTTTGGAGTGAAATGCTTAAAAAAGACTCTCGAATGCTCAGGTCGGTATCTGGGCGTCTACTCAAAAACACGTATCCAATAACCTATAATATTTGAATGATGAAAAATACTGTAAAATGTATAGTGACTGAATTTTTCCTGAGAAAAATAATCAAGTAGTTTACGGTAGATATCCTGGCATTTTCTTTCAGTTCAAAGTTTTCATTCTTTTCGGTTTACAGGCATCCATTTTCTGAGAGCGCCATATTGTTTGTCATCCTATCCAAATCTGTAAGTAAAAAAACCTTATGTAAATTAAAATACAAAGTTCCCCCAATAAGTATACGAGTGTATTTTCATTGCTTTAATCCGTTCTGACATCCACAACATCTTCATGGATTTTCCTAGTAATTTAATGCCTGATGTACATACACAATTTCTATTTGTTTGAATGACTATGAATTCGAATAACAATAAAATGCAGGCGTTTCACTTTCATCACTGAAAAGTTTTTCATCCAAACTCTTTAGCTCGTATACGCCTACCAATATTGTAACTTTAAAACTTGATTCTTCGAACGACGTAACAAAAAGAAATATCTGAAATTTAAAAGCATGAAGAAACGAACGGCCAAGATTAATATAAAAATGTTAAAAAGTTCACTCGACTTCCAAAGACGAATGGATATTGAAAAAAGAAAAAGGCCAAGAAAAAGAAACAAGGAATTGCCTATTAAGGCAAAATAAAAAAATAAAAAAATAAAGACGTGGCAATTTCCCTCTATCCAAATGAAAGTGAAGAAGTAAATAGCTCATTTGAGTGACGGCAGAAGCAAAAAAAAAAAAGTTGAATCAGTCTGTACCGCCATATTAGAAAACTAAAATAAAAAAGAAAATGGTGGCAAAAGAACCGCGTTCATTTTCCCTTGAATCGTTTATCCCAAGTGGCCATTGATGGGGTTTGAGCGGATAAGTAAATTCTGGACATCATTGTATAAGTTTCTATTTCTAGCTGAGTAATAAACTTTTTGTTTCCCATATATATATATATATATATATATATATATATATATATATATATATATATATATATGCGTGTATGTCTGTGGTTTTCTTTGTTGGTCTGTCATTTTATTTCTCTCTGATATGTGATTTCGCATGGATGATAATAGAACAACACACTAGGCAATTTCGTGTCAATTACGTCAGTGATGAACCAGTTAAACTGACTGCAGGTCAAGTTGGTGTAGGTTTTCTTTTATTTTCAGCTACCTAATAACACTGACTCAACTTTGATTCGAAGTTCACTGAACATTCGCTCGACATGCTCGAAGTATAAAAGTAAATTCTGATTATAAAAGGATATTTGAGTATAAACTGGCTTCGATGTTGCCTATATTTTAAATAGTGCTTCTATCTCTATTTGCTGATTTTTAATTTCATACAACAAAGCCTTGTAAGATAACACGTTTCTTTTTTCATTTGTTTCAATCGCTGTATGTATTTCCCTTTATTAAAAATTGTTTAGCACTCCTTCTCTCTTGTTCGTTACATCAGTCCTCGCCTTTTCTATTGCTCTCAGCTTATTCTCTCTCAGTGTTTATCTAGCTTTTTTTCTCTTTTTCATTGCTCATATAACCTTCACTTTTTTCTTTCGCTCTCTCTCCTTCTTCCTTTCCCTTTACCACACTTTCATATACTTCAGTATTTCTTTTTTCTCTTTCTTTCTTTCTTTCTTTCTTTCTTTCGTTCGTTCCTCTCACTCATAGTTCTTATACTTTCTTTTTTATTTTTGTATTTACTCAGGTTCACTCGGTCTTTCATCTCGCACTCACTCTTTCATTTTCAACTTGTCATTAGTGATATAACTTTCGATATTTTTCTCTCCCTGCGGTAACGGCTTTCTCTCTCTCTCTCTCTCTCTCTCTCTCTCTATCCCTATATATATATATATATATATATATATATATATATATATATATGTGTGTGTGTGTGTGTATGTTTTCTCTTGCTTTCATCATAATTGTATATTTCTCATTTTCAGTTCCTGATCTCTCTGTGATGTTCTTCATATAGATCTCATTTACTCTTTATTTCTGATAACTCTCTACCTCCGTCACCATTTTCTCACTCCCACAGTCATTCATATAGATCATTGTGCTTTTCCACTCTCTCTCTCTCTCTCTCTCTTTCTCTCTCTTATCTCTCTCAACGACTAAGTGACTTACCGGTTCTCATACTATTACCGAAGTTAAGCCACGTTGAGCCAGGGCAGTAACTAGATGGATGATCTTTTTATAATATCAGCTACCCTAAGATTCATGTGCGGGTCATATAATGGATAGTTCTATACGCTTATACGCAAATACCTTTTAGGAAGGCATGAATCCACCTGTTCTCGCCTCAGCTATCGGCAAATTAGTGTGACTTGTATCATTAAATCATTATTATCTAAAAAAAACAATGTTGCAAACTTAAATTATTTTCTGGCAATAAATAGTGATTTTCCAAGCGTAGCTCAGATGTGGCACAAGGCCGAAAGTATGGAGCATCCAGTGAGTATCGAACTCACGACTCAGTTGTGATTGGTCTAGCAAGACAAGCTTGCTAACCATTACACCACATCGAGGTGCCCTTTTCTGGCAATAAATAACCTCCAAAGGGTTGATAAACCGTAGAAAATAAATCTACCAATCTACCCTACTTTATTCTTCATGATCATTTTTCTTCACCTAGTTCATAATTTCTTAGATATTAGATTAATCTATCTCACATTTTCTTTAGACCATTTATCTATTTCTCTGAAGCTTATATTCCCGACTTGTTCTAACATATTTCTTACCTATTACCAATTTCTACAACAATCTTTTGTCTGTTTACATTCATCTTAATTTCGTTTATTTTTCTTTTCTATTTTCCTTTCCATTTTCTACCATTATTTTCCATTCCTATTCTTCTCTTTCTTTTCTGCCATTTTTGGTTCTTTTCTATTCTCGTCTTTGTTTTCAATCATTGTCTTTATTACTCTTTTCTTTGCATTCTACCATTATTTTTCTTTTCCTTTCTGTTTCTTTCTTTTCACAATTATATTTCTTTTCTATACTCCACATTGCTTTCTAACATTTTTTTTCATTCTCCTCTTAGTTTTCTACCATTACTTTACTTTTCAATTCTCCAATTTGTTTCTTATCATTATTTTTCTTTTCTATTCCCCAGTTTGTTTTCTACCTTTATTTATATTTTCTATTCTCTTGTTTTCTACCATTATCTGTCTTTTTAATTCTCCAATTTTTCTTCTAACATTATTGTTCTTTTTCTATTCTCCTATTTGTATATTACCATTATTTTTCATTTCGATCATCCTCCTTATTTTTGTACAATTATTTTTTTCTGTTGTACCCTTTGCTTTCTACAAAGATTTTCTTTTCGATTCTCCTAATTGTTTTCCGCCATGATTTTACATTTCTATTTCCTTTCTACGATTATTTTTCTTTTTCATTCTCCTCTTTGATTTCTACACTTATTTTTTATTTCTAATCAACTCTTTACTTTCTAAAATTATTTTCTTTTGTATTCTACTCTTTGTCTCCTACCATTATTTCGCTTCTATTCGCCTCTTTGTTTTCTACGATTATTTTTTCTTGTCTCTTTTCCTCTTTATTTTCTACCATTATTTTTCTTTCCTATTTTCCTCTTTGATTTCTTCAATTATTTTCCTTTTCTACTCCTACCTTTGTTTACTGTCATTATTTTACTTTTATCTATTGTACCCTTTGCTATTATTTTTCTACAATTATTTCTTTTGTAGTCTCCTCTTTTTTTTCTATCCTCACTTTTCTTTTCTAATTTCCTCTTTGCTTTATACCCTTACTTTTCTCTTGTATTCTTCTATTTGGTTTCAATTGTCTAAATCTCTTTTCTACTAATTTCTATAATGTTAAAGTATCAGGGGAATTGATTCATCGCTTTAACAGTTTTCCCTCCGCCATTTAATCTGATATAAAAGGAATTCTATTTTATAAAACAATTGATATATTATTAATGACTCCTACTAGTTGAGAATTTTATTTATTTCCTGAAATTATCAAAAATTCGCGCCACGTTATTCATTGACGAAGCAGCTAGTTCTTCGCGAATTACGCTTTTCTTTACTCCCAAGCCATCGTCCCAGGATCAAAGTATATTTTGTAATTGCCATTTCTAATGGTAATTGTAATGTTACGGTTCCCTCATGCACTTTGACGTGTAACAATTGTTAGCAATCTTGTCTCACAAATAAAGTGCATCTTGGAAGTGAGTTAAATCCACATTTCGTACTCCGTACTTGAGGGTTTTTTTTACAAATCTAATCTATACATAGTATACCATGCACACTTCGACATGTTGTAATGTTTAGCAAGCTAGTCTCGTGAAATCAATTTCACAGAGTTGGGAGTTCGATACTTCACGAGGGCTCTGCAATTGCGGCCCTGTGCCACATCCGAGCTATACTTATTAATCACTATTCGTCGTTAACTTATATAGAAACATTTGGTATTCATTGACCGGACAGCCAGTGCTTTTGTCTGTTCAAATATAAAATGTATTTATATTAACACATTTTTTTCAGGAAAATACATTTCTCAAGCCCACTGTTATCGCTCTTTCTCGTATTGATGGGAGTTTCCTTTCTAATCTTTCGTTTGAAGTTGTGTGGAATATCAACTTCTTGTTTTTGTCATTATTTTCTCTAGTACACTCTAGTTACACGAGTGAATTGCCTATACTGAATCCATTGCTTGGTCACCTGCTAGAAAAGTTGGTTCACTGTATCGTGCGAGATAATTTTTCTCTCCAGAATCTATCTTGCATAGCTATATGTCTATCATTTCCCTATGTTGTGAATATTGCTGCTACATATGGTCCGGTGCACTTGCTATTTACTTTGCCTTCCTTGATTAAATCCAAAGAAGAATCAACAATATTCATTTCCCTTATCTGGTAGCTCGGCTTCAGTCACTTTCGCAACGTCTAAAGTTGCCTCTCCGTGCCTTTCAATAAATAATTTGATGGTAATTGTTAGGATGAGCTGTCGAATGTCGAACTGAACCCCTTATTTCGCTCACTTGAGGACACATGGCACAATGGATAAAGGCGTCAGATTCAGTGACATGACCGAAAGAGTTTGAGTTCAATACCCGGTTAAGGCAGTGGAGAACTTTCAAAGGGAAATTAACAGAAGATAGCTGATAACTGACAGCCATTAAAACATGGCACGTGAAACTAGAATAGTCTACCCAGCGAGCGAAATAAAGGGTTCAGTTCCACATTCCAACCACCTGAAGAAGGCCGGAGTGTACAACGGCTGAAACGTTGTGATAAATATGGCGACAAAGATGAGGACAATAGTCCGAATAATGTAAATAATTAAACGCACTACTAGACTGGTTTTGAGATCTCATCAATTTACAGCTGAGCTTGCTAGATGTGGCCGTAAATTCTATTGTAACTGTTTCTTTTCTCGCACAACTGACTTGTGGTTCACATTCCCGGCAGCTTTAATCTTCAGAAATTTAAATGCAATATCAATCGCCATCTACTCTCATTCCGTTTACTCTTTTCTCTTCCCGCTTATTATTAAAATTTCTGTTCCCAATTCTTACACGCCCTGTAACCCCTTGTTTCTTAGTGACTTTAGGGGTGATACCGATTAAAATGAAAGTCTGTTCATTTTATTTGTCACTACTGTGATTTTTTTTTTGTTATTTGGCAAAGTACTTTGTTGGTGATTCCCTAGTGCCAGTCCACAAGTTTCAAAAAGCCCGCCCTTTGTCGGTTCATTTTCTGGAAGCCATTTTTAATCATTGATTTCAGAAAGTGTTTGTGTGTAGTTGACATTTTAGTTTTTTCGGAACTCCATATATGCCATCTTTATAGAAGTATCGATTTGACAGTGCAATCTTTATATGACTATCATCATTTGGTTGGCATAATTTTCAGATCAAGCTAGCTCAGATTTTCATGAGTTGATCAAGCCTACCATCACGGTCCTGCATCAAAACCGGAAACTCTTTAGGGTAGCATTCAATGTCATAATATAGTTGATCAATGTAGGTATTCATAGTTATTCAATGTAGGTGATCGCTTGCTAACCAAACCGTCTTGCGCCATATGTAGGGGTCATGATTAGTAGAAACACTAATCTAGTTCTTCTTAGTAGAAACACTAATCTAGTTCTTCTTCTGGTCGCCGGCAGTGTCATGCAAATGACATTCTGTGTTCGCGTAAGTTTGTAGAAATGTCAAGGATGGCCCATAGAGCTGTAATTTGTTTGGATCGTGTCTCCATCAGATGTTAAGTATAACTCTCAGCAGCCGAGTGTAAGTTTCATCAAGCTTAAACCCGAGCTTTTTGGTTAATGTCCAGGCAGTAGAACCATATATTTAATTCGACTCTACAGTGGCTCGAAAGAATCTCCGTTTGAGGTTGTCTGGTAGATCAGATATCCAGATTACATCCATTTTATTCAAGCCGCCCAGTCTTTAGCTATGCGAATTTTCTTATGCTTTTTAGTAGAACTTATTTCGCATCCTTGCTATGTAAAAAATTCAACAGATTTTATTGATTATCCTGAAAGAGTTTGCATTGAGTGTTGCTGGTTGAAGCTGATAAATTCACTTGCTGACTTTTCTAGATGATTTAGAACTGTGGCATTGATAATGGTATTTTGAGTGTTAGCTAGGTCTTCTTCATAATCAATATCTGTCAACGTTTTCGCAGTTTACCAACTTGAGATTCTTAGTTATAAATAAAACTTAGATGATGTTTCTTGTCGAGTGATGTTCTCAATACGTAGTAATCTTTGATAACAAAAAGAAAAAGTGCAATGGCGTCAACCTGATGTTCTCCTGATTTACTGTCGAATAAGCTAGGGTCCTTGTTTTGGGAGCTAACCAAAGATTTGGTATTTCCGTACAGCATCATTACGGCAGCTGCTGTCTTGGTGGGGTGTCGTATGCAAGAAAGATCTTTCCCATTTTTACCCTATGTAAAGAACCAAAGGCCTTAGTGAAATCTACAAAATAGGAAGACGGCCTGTAGATTAATTTTTCTTTCTGACGCCCTCAATAATCCGCCGAACGGTCAGGATTTGTCAACGAACATATAGTATATAAATATAAAGACCTACTTCGCTTAAAGTTTTTGCACGTGACGAATTCTATTATTTAATCCTTTAAAGAAGATAAAACAGTTTTCACGTGCGATATAATTTATGGAGATTGTAGACAATTATGTAATTTCCTAAATATTTATTTTCTACGAAGAAATGTGTAATAAAAGATAAATCAAACACCAAGGAATCTTTTGATGAACTACTTTTTTTTTCTATAACAAATATGCACAGTCTTTAGAAGGATCACTGGTGATGAAGCTAATTACAATTGAAGAATTATTTATGTAATATCTACGTTTAAAATTCAGAGATATCGATGCAGCTATTTGCCATTATTTTATGGGGATTGTGCGCTTGTAATTTCTTTTGTCGAAGCAGAATGAGTAGGCGTTTATTTGTAATTCTCTGGATGTTTTTTTTTCAAACTTCTCACTACAATGTTTATTTAATTGCTATACTTTCGTTCTTACCGCCTCGTTTTTGCTCCTTGAGTCAATGGATTTTTGGCTCGAAAGTTGTAATAGCTTCCATTTTGTATTTATTTATATTTTTTTCTACCTTTTTTGTTTTTCATTCTGTTCTCGTAACTTTCCGCAGTTGCAACTTTTGTACGAAATTGTTGTCTTCCGGCGATATTTGATTTAAACCGTCGTTTCCCGGTCATTATAAATATCTTCTATTTTGTTCTAGCGCAAAAGATTATATATGAGTTTGGTCCATTTTTAGAAAACAAACCATTGACTATTTGGCCCAACGGGTTTCGAAGGAAAACTGTAGATGTAGATGTAGAAAACTGTAGATGTTAAAATGTAAAAATATTAGAAAAGTGACGACGACGACGAAGAAGAAGAAGAAGAAAAGAAGAGGAACAACAATAACAAAAACAACAACAACAAAGCAAGAGCAAGATGAATAAAAGGGGAAAAAATAAGAAGATAAAATACAGCAACAAAAACAAGAGGAACAA